TCTCTCTCTCTCTCTCTCTCTCTCTCTCTCTCTCTCTCTCTCTCTCTCTCTCTCTCTGCATGGACTTGTGCCCGTGAGAAACACATTGAACCATTTCAACAAGCAAACTCGCGTTTAATCACTATTTTTGTTAATACATACGCGGATAATAGCGAAATCCCTGTGGGATTAAAATACTATACAGAAAATAACTATACTGGATAATTAAATTGTTCTCCCTCCGATAATGGAACATTTAACGCCAACAAGCAATTTACAATTAATCCGATTAAAAATTAATGTCAACGTCGATTATCGCTTTGTCTCCGGCTGACTCATCCGTGCACCGTTTTAACAGCCTATGCGTTAATGAATTTTCGTGCTAATGATATTTAGCTTTTACTGCTTATCTGCTTTCGATTTCACATTACGCGTCGCAAAGGCCGGATGGACCTTTCCTCTTTTCTCCATGGACATCCATTCGTGGGTGCGGTTTTCGATGCGGCATCACTCTTCCTTCCTTTCTTCTTCCCTTTTCTTTTAATCTTACAATCTTCCTTTATGGATCACTGTTGTTGCCGGAGACGCACAGTATCACTCTTTCTTCTCTCTGCCGCTCTTTTCTCTCTAATCTTATAATCTTTCCCTACCTCCTCGTCCTCCTTCTTTTATGGATGACTGTCCCTTTTGGGACGCGGTATCGCTTTCGCTCCTTTCTATCGCCCTTCTTTCTAATCTTCTATTTCAGTTTCCGCGAGAACTTTCCAGGATTGACGAAAGGAGAGCCGTCCTCCGCGAATGCGGAAGGAAACACGCGATAGGGACAAATAAAGACGGATAGCCGACTGCGTCTCTCGATTGATACGAACGCGCATACGCTCTGAGCCTCCCGGGACTTACGCGAGGCAGACGCGCGCCACCCGTTACATCGCCGCGTGAAATATCCGCCATTATCTTGATTTGTGCATGCATCGACCCCGTGCACAATATTCTGTTTGTCGATCGACTCACGATACGTAGTCTTCAATTTTTCATCGCAAAGCTTCTAATTGATGACGAGGAAATGCATGCCCAAAATTCCCGCAAAATGTGTCGAAATAAAAGGATATATCCAAGAAATGACATTTGCACAATAGATTAAGCACATTTCTAAAATATCTCTAAACACCTTTGCTGTAACAATCAATAAGCTGTAAAATTAGCGTGACATGCAATCTTCCTTTTTAAGCTACTTATCTTTATTATCTCTTTGTCTTTCTTCATTATCTTGTCTTAATTTTACGGCTATTTATTGATAGAAAAAGAGAAAAGCGTTTGAAGTATTTTAGGAGCATTTGATTGATTACAAATGCCTTTTTTTTATACATATTTTTATTTCGACGTAGTTTGTAGCAAATTTGTGCATGTGTTTCTTCGCTTCTGACGTCATAAATTAAGATGGCGAGGGGCCAGGGGCTGGATCGCGCATGGCTTTCGCACGTGCCGTTACGTTGTTATTGCAGCATCACCAAAGCGCAATCAGCGCCTCCTTGCGATACGAGTCTGTTTATCACGTGAGAGAGGATTTTTAGGGCTCTGGTTATAGTTTGAAGAGGAACAGTTGTGGTATCCGTTACAACTTGTCGATAGGAACTCCAGCGACAGTATCGTAACGCGACAAGGAAGCAAAGCGCACAAATGCGCGCGTGCACGTGTACACGCGCGGCTCTGTGTACGTTTGACAAAGCAGCCAGACAAAGCGAGACAGGGAATTACAATCTGCGAAGTTCTCGTTGTAACAGACGTCTATGCCGGATAGTACGGTGCCAAGAGCCACGGACATTGCGCCCAATTAGTAGTTAAGCTTACGCGAAACTTTAACGAAATTCAAGTTCGGAGAGCGGGCGACGAGAATTAGGATTTCATACTTTAGCGACGGCGAGTCTCCCCTGCCGAGCTATAAAATCGGACATTTTAATACAATAATACTCAGCATACCGTGCTCTTCTTCTGCATAGCCAAATGTAATATGCTCAGCCATGAATTTTAATTGATGCGGTTAGTTGCGTAAGGTTAAGTGGAATAATTGAGAACCACCGGTTTAAATAAGGCAACACGATGATTTTTCGATTACGAGATTAAAGCTCGACGTGTTCCAGAAAATGATTTTCTCGAAAAACGTCGTTATGTATTTTCTGCATAAAGAATTTTTTAAGACCTAAATTTCAAATATGTGATTCGAACAAGTAAACCTATCCAAAGGTTACACTTCGATTTCTTTCTAATTTAACACAAATGCAGAAGTACAAAAAATACTTAGATCGTATTTTTTTTATTTTGGCCCACTTTGAGTTTCGCGAGCAGTTTATAGATTTTTAATATTCACACTCCTACCATCAATAAGTGCACCAAAATGTATAACAAATAGGATATAGACGTTTTTGGTTTATTGATTATGAATATGAAGTCAAATATATAAAATTATTTGTATAAATAATAAAATGTTTAAACAAAATATGTAAAAAGTAGAAAAAAATTATTTATACAAATAATTTCTCGGCTTGACCGAGATTCGAACCATTTTTGACTAATTTAGCACAGATTTAAAATATTTCGGTTGGAATCTCGGCTAAAGAAATTTAGAATGGCTCGTATCTCAGCTATGCCGATTTTGTTAAAATTATTTAACTATATCTTATATCTATATTTAATTTTATTTGTTATTCTTATTTTTACTATATTTGTTGATGATAAGAGTGAGAACACTAAAAAGCTATAAACTCAGTCCGTGAAACTCAGTGGGCCAAAATGAAAAAATATAACCTAAATATTTTTTGTTCTTTTACATTTGTGCTAAACTAGAAAGAAATCGGAATGTACCTTTTAGGTAAGTTTACTTGTAAGTGGAAAGTCCACAAAATTTCTCCAAAATTCTTTCTCTGCTCTTCATTTCATATTAGAATTGAATAAAACACATGTTCCAAATAATTGACATAACTATCCAAATAATTTAATTATTCAGTGAAAAATACTTAGTGTTTTAAAAATATAACGATATTATTTATTATGTTTATTTATTTTATTAAAGATTATAGTAGGTATAAAAATAGAGTTCCTTCTTAGAGATATTGACTGAGAAAAGCTCGAGTTTCTATAATATCACCGCTTCGATTCTAGACAGAGAACATATGGAACAAGAATAGGATTTCCAATTAGTGTCGTAGTAATATCAATTTTGAGATAAATCAATGAGTAATATCAATTTTAAATTGAGCATTCTAATTATATTCTACGTTGTATCTAAGAAAATTTTAGAGAATTTCTACGTGGAACGTCGAACAGTTGTTGGAAAAAATTGTTCCAAGGTGAGAATCGTTTAGTCCAGGAGAATTATTTGCTTGATCCACTTATCCACAGAAGCCTCGGTTGCTTCACTTGACCCTACTTTACCGTATATTTTATACATTCGTTGTACGGGGAACATGAGTCGTGAGAACGTCGTTGTCATAGACGCAGTGGTGAGTTTCCAGGTTGAATTGAGAGTGGAATTTCAGCCGGTCGTTATTGGCACAGGTGTGAGTTGACTTCGCTTAATGACGAATTTATTTCAAACATATCACTCCGTACGATAACACAAAATAAGAAAACGAGGTTAAATCTCGAAATTTTCATAAGTATCTCTCTCTCACACACACACACATACACACACACACGCACACACAAATACACATGCTGTATTGTACACGCGCAAGAACGGCGCCACGATGTCGGGTGGTCCGGGATTACGAGGAAACTTCGGCGCCGAGGAGGAATTGCGTCCGAAAAATAGCGAGCCATCGCTTAAACGCAGCTTCCTTGACCTTTTTTCGCGTCGAATTGCGGTACGCTGCATTATCGTTTACGAGCGGAGGAATAGGCGAGATATAGCAAGAACTGTTCCCCAGCTAAACCTTCCCCTTTAACGAAAAGTTTTCCGATGTCTTTCCAGATAACCGAGTAAGAAATACCCGCATAGAAATTTCCCACGATTTTCCTAGATGCTGCATAAATTCTGATCAAAACGTCCAAATTTGTTCCAAAATTGATTATTCCACTACGATACCAATTGGTAATCTCATTCTTATTCCAAACGTGGCTTCTCTGTCTAAAATCGGAACAGAAA